CCCTCCTCCTTGGAGAACCTTATCCTGCTTGCTACTCAGTTGGATCGGCGTCTACGGGAAAGACGCGCGGAGCGTACTCAGACCTTTCGGCCCACTTTGGTTCTCCCAAAAGTTCCAGGACCAACAGCTCCTGCCCTTGCTCCACAACCCATCAACACTTCGGAGATAGACAATCAGAAAAATAGTATATAGTGAGCGCTAATCCAAGAAGCAGCTATGCACTCAAAGCAACCGATATATGCAGTAAACCAAATAATATAGAACAGTGCAGCACTAAAAGTAATGAATAAGTTCCCATATAAAATTAAATTGATGAGGATTCATATAAAAAGTCTATAAAGATGTGCCAGGTAGTATATAATCATCAGTGGTGGTGCTCCGTGGAAAATGGTAGAAATGGGCACTCACCAGAAATTAAATGGATATGAGCGTTGTATGAAAATTCCTCATCAGAGTTCTGGTCAGCATCTGTAATCCTCCCTCACTGGCCCTTAGTGGAGATGAATCAGATCCAGGTAACCAGAGGTCTCCTCAGAAGGGATGGATGGAAGGAACTGCCTGTTTACAGGGAATTTTCCACCTCTTGGTGTGGTGCCTGGATCGTGGTACGGGGCTTCTGAAGATAAACACTCCTCTCAAGGAGTCAGGGAAGGATGCCCATACTGTAGTAAGGTTGAAAATAGAATTTTATTGTAAGAAAGCATAAAAATCGCGATTAGTAATCATAAAATCATCCAGGTGTAGTGAGAACTGACCCTCGGAATTTAAAAAATGGCCTCCACGTGGCTCCGGCGGCATAGCGTCATGACGTCCGGGCTCCTCCTTACGCATTACGTGCGCATGCACTTCATCAGAGGGATGGAACCAATGACGCCATGGTGCGGCGGGCAGACTTATATGTGTGCAGTGGCGCATGCGCATACGGTCAGCCATTTTACTGGAGCTCAAAGGGAACAGCAAACACAGGCACAGACGCAAATGTGTACTGGAAATATATGTATTTTGGATAATGGATAGTGGCCAATATAAAGTAGGAAAATTACAATAGCAATGTTCATAGGGGAAAATTGCTAATTAATATGCAGCCATGCGCCACTACATCCATACGAGCATATGCATATACTCATTATTGGAAATAAGAATAATATTTAACATATTAAATGGAAAAGATGCTACTGTTAAAAATATAAAACAAACAATGGTAATAGTAAGTAAATAAAACATGTCACATAAAAATTTAAAACCTGGTTGATGATGTCTCAAAATAGAAGTAAAAATAAAAAGAAGAAATCATATAGAATAAATGTAAACATACAGGTGAAACTCGAAAAATTAGAATATCCTGCAAAAGTTCATTTATTTCAGTAATGCAACTTAAAAGGTGAAATTAATATAGGAGATAGACTCATTACATGCAAAGCAAGATAGTTCAAGCCGTGATTTGTCATAATTGTGATGATTATGGCTTACAGCTCATGAAAACCCCAAATCCACAATCTCAGAAAATTAGAATATTGTGAAAAGGTGCAATATTCTAGGCTCAAAGTGTCCCACTCTAATCAACTAATTAAGCCATAACACCTGCAAAGGGTTTCTGAGCCTTTAAATGGTCTCTCAGTCTGGTTCAGTAGGAATCACAATCATGGGAAAGACTGCTGACCTGACAGTTGTGCAGAAAACCATCATTTATACCCTCCATAAGGAGGGAAAGCCTCAAAAGGTAATTGCAAAAGAAGTTGGAAATATTTTTATTGAAAAAAATATCTTGCAACCAGCAACATAGTTTTATACAAAAGTAAAAAAATATAAATAACATAAACCACCTACTTGGTATCAGACAAAGAAAAATACTGGATAACTCTCCCATGACAAATATAAACAATAAGACAGCCCTATATATCATCTGTATTTATATATACCTTACACAGCACAGATTTACTTGCTCAAGTGTTTTATGCCTTTCTGGCCTGCCAACATATATAAACAACCTTTCCTTTGTGAGGAAAAAACCTCACTTATTGTAAATTAGCAGCCTATATACAATTTTAAAGAAAAAGCCTAATACTCTACCCAACAAAGGCTAAGTAACCTAGACAATCAGGTGTACGTAGCCATTTAAAAAAAAAACAACCTTCCAACAAAATCTAAGGGAGTGAAAGAGAAAAGACACAGGACAGCAACCACACCAAGAGATCAACAGACTGCTGCTACAGGCCTGATATTCCTCCACGCCTCTATCCAGACCCTTCGCCGCAGCCTGTCTTTCTCGAGACCCCGAATTTTCCCCACCTCACCAAGGATGTCACGCACCACCACCTGGACAGGAAGGACCTTCTGCCGCAAGGAGACCTGACACCGTGTTTTCCAGGTGAAATAATGGACAACTAGACAAACTAGAAAAAGTGTGTTTAAATCAAAGCCAGCATGACTTTCTAATGCCCCATATACCCACTCTGCATAAGACATGCAGTGCAGGAAAGGGATGCCTAGAGCCCTCCCCACCTCTTTGTACACCTCTACATTGAAGGGACATTGAAGCAAGAAATGGTCCATACTTTCCACTTCACCCCCACACTCCGTCCTCGGACAACCTCGGTCATCCAGAGAACGGTGCTCCAAATTTCCCCTCACGTAAAGCCTGCCGTGGAACGCAAGCCAGGCCTGGTCCCTAAATTTCAAGGGAATCCTTTCCATATTTAACAAGCACAAACCCTCCCTCAGAATATGGCCTGAGCAATCGTTCAAGGTCAGCGGTGCATGAAACGCAGAGGCCACAATCCTCTCCCTCAAGAGCCTCCCAGGGAGTGACCTAACCTCCTCCGCAGTCACACACCACCGCCTAAGAATCTTCAAGCACGGGGCGACATAAGTCGGGAGCTTACCGTGCTTGACGCGCAAGCTTCTCACTGGCCTGCCACTCTCCCAGCAGCCCAGAAAAGGTCTAAACCAAACTTGAAAAAGGCTCACCCATGTCGGCGAGTTCTCTTTCAAGATATTACCAATGTTATGCTTTATAAACATCAAAGAGAAGAAAACAATCGGGTTGACCATACCTAGGCCACCCTCCCGCCGGGATCGGTAAGTCACATTCCGCTTCACAAGGTTCAGCCTGTTCCCCCATAACAGCTGGAAGAAACAACTGTAGACCCTCATGTAGAGAGACTCTGGCAAGAGACAGACGAAACTGACGTACAAGAAAATGGGGACCAAGTAGGTTTTAATTCGGTCGACCCTTTCCCTTAAGGACAACCGCCAACCCTTCCAGCATCTCACTTTGACATCAGCATCTGACAACCTGGATTCCCAATTTGTTTTACTGTAATCATCAGGTCCAAATTCGATGCCTAACACTTTGATCTTCTGGCGGGGCTCTGGGAAAGCATCCGAAAGCTCGAAACCCTCACCTTCCCTACCCATCCAGAAAACTTCACATTTGTCATGATTAATCTTGGAGCCTGAAGCCTCCGCATACTGCTCCATCACCGAGACCACCTCCTGCGCCTCACTAGTCCCAGAGATGAAAACAGACACATCATCAGCATAAGCCACGACCCTCAGAGGTGACTCACCAGTAGCGCCCCTGGACACCCCGCCCAACACCCCGCCATCTAGCCTTCTGATGAAGGGGTCGATGGCAAAGACATAAAGCAAAGGGCTCAGTGGACACCCCTGGCGCACCCCCGAACCAACCTCAAAGGGCCGCCCAACCCAACCATTGACCAACATGAAGCTCTCAGCCCCTTTATACAATGTCTGCAACCATCCAATGACCTCCCCTCCAGACCATACCTGCCAAGGAGCTGCCAGAGGTACTTGTGATCAACCCGGTCAAAAGCCATAGCTTGATCCAGCGCCAGCAAATACTTCCCACAACCATCAGCCCTGCACTGCTCCAGAGCCTCCCGGACAGCTAACACCTGCCCTGGACCGAACAGTGCTGCTGCTGCGAAAGTAGACCGTCCGCCACTGACGACAAGCGTCAGAAAAGGATCTTAGCCAAAATCTTTCTATCGACATTGAGCAGGCTAATGGGGCGCCAATTCTCAATCATCGCTGTGTCCTTACCTTTTGACAGCAAGATCACAGCTGATTTCCTCATGGAGTGAGGGAGTGAACCCTCATCTAAACAGCAATTAAACACACCTCCGCTAGGTGAGGTGCCAAGCGAGATTTAAAGGTCTTAAAAAACTCAGCTGTCAAACCGTCTGGCCCTGGTGTCTTCTTAATGGCCAAACTATCTATCGCTTTGGCAACCTCTTCAGTCGTGATCACACGTGTAAACTTGCAGGCGGATTGTTATTTTCCAAACCTGGTGTAGAATCCAGGAAGCTTGACATCCCTGCCCGATCAAGGTGCCTCTCCTTCAGAAGATCTTCAAAAAAAGCCCTTGAGACCTCCAAGATCCCTGACCTGGATTTTGTTAAGGATCCCGTACTATCCCTCAGACCACTGATCATTTTAACTGCTATGCTCTGTTTGCAGCTCTGGTAAGGGTCGGGCGAGTGATATTTCCTGTAGTCCCTCTCCAGAACCAAAGAGGCATGCCGATCATACGGATACTTCTTCATGAGCAGCTTAACCTCTGAGATTGCCCCAGAATCTCCACCCTCAGAGACAAGGCGATCAAGCTTCCTCCGCAACTGCTGATAGGCAATGTATTTTTCAAGCTGTTTTCTTTTACCTAGGGCCTTGAAAAACCTGCTGATCCGCACTTTGGTAAGCCCTCACCACTCCGACTTACTGCCGCAGAAATCCAGGATGGTCTCCTGAGCCTGAAGAAGATCCTCAAAGGATCGTCTCACCTCTTCGTCCTCCAGCAGAGCCGAATTCAACCTCCAGACACCCCTTCCCTTCAGCAGCGAATCTGAAGCATTCAAAGTTACAGTCAATAAAAGGTGATCAGAGAACTCCACCACCTGACACTCAGGCGCCGAGAAAGCGGAGTCCCCCTTTAAAAAAAAAACCTATCTATCCTACTCTCACTTCTACCTCTTCTATACGTGAACCCCGTGCTGTCTGGGCTGCACTTAATTAAGGCGTCCACCAGACCTGCATCCCTGACTATCGTATTTAAAAAAACGCTATCATATCCCAGCCTGTCAGTGGAGCCTTTCCTGTCTTTGAGCCTAGTGATGGTGTTAAAATCACCTCCAAAGACAACCTGCCGGGACATAAAAAGGAACGGCTTAATCTTCGTGAAAAGGCATTTCCTATCCCATTTTGACTGGGGACCATATAGATTGATAAGGCGTAACTCCTGCCCCTTCACGAGGACGTCTAGGACCATACACCTTCCAATCTCCACCTCAATGACCCGCCGACACGTTACCATGCTGGTAAAAAGCACCGCAACTCCGCTGTAAGGCTCAGCCGCAAGAGACCAATAAGAGGGACCACATCTCCACTCCCTCTTGGCCAGGTGTAAATCAGCCAGGCTATCAAGCCTGGTCTCTTGCAAAAACAAAACATCAGCTCCAATCTTGCTGAGCAAAAATAAGGCTGTACTTCTTGCACTTACAGATTTAATGCTGGCAACATTAATGGTTGCCACCTTTATCGGAGCAGGAACTGCCATTAAGATAATTGAGATGGCCGTTTCTTAACCTTTGTTTCCCAACCTTAGCAGGGGATCTGACCCTCTTGAGGGAACCCCCTGCTTCCTCATCCTCCATAGGGGATACAATATCACCTTCATCCTCAGATAGCAAACTATATATTTGTTCCCTAGGGAAACTTCCCCCACCTCAATAGAAGAGCAAGATGATGCAGATGATAGGATTGGCCTATTTCTACCACCCCTTCCTACCACTGACCGTCCCTCTTCCTTAGCCTCATCCTCACTCCCAGGTCCACTCACCCCAGAATCCAGACCTTGCTGGTTTTCCTCCCGTCCCCTCCCCATGGCCCTAGCTGACCTCCTGTGCCTCTTAGGGAGCAGCACTAGAGGAGGGGCCATAACATGATCTGCTATCCCAGCCCCTTTGCAGCCTCATTCATTTTTGACACCTCTGATGAGGGAGACAGGAGGAGAGGCAGACAACACCTGGGGAGATACAATAACAGGGGAACACGTTACAGCAGGGGAAGAAACAGAAACAACAGGAGACTCAACTGACTCCCCTAACTCTGGAGGTACTGCCGCACTTTGCCCCTCAGGGCCCAAACTTTCTCTTACCTCCTCAGCATCTATCCTTGCCAGCTCCTCCATTACCTTAGGCATGTTGTGTAATGCCTCTGGGCACCGGCTATAGGAATGACCCAGCTGCAAACAGAGGTTGCACCCGATGAGGCTGCAATCCTTGGATAGGTGACCAATCCCCTGGCACAGGGAACACTTTAGCACACTACATGTGGATGCAAAGTGTCCCCCTATTTCCGCACCTATAGCAGACTTTGGGCTGGCCAGCATAGAAAATCACCAGCCTGTCTTTGCCAATGAAGGCTGACGATGGTATATGCTTTATCTGGTTATCTATAACCTGCAGCTTCACTACTGTTGACCACCCACCTGTCCATATCCCCCTGTCATCAAGTTGTTTCCTGAGTGGGTTCATCACCTCCCCAAAACCAGCTCAGCCACACTATAATATCTGCTGCAGGGATGAATTTGTTTCTGACCAATATGGTCACGTTCTTTACTAGGGGCTGCCTGGACACCACTTTGGGGATAAGCCCCTCCCACCTGGGGGTATTCTTCCATTCATTTTCGTATCTTTGCCAGAACAGATCCAAGCTTCCGGTCTGACAAATGAGATATCAAACTACCCTGTGCCCAAGGGAGCAATGAAGGCAAAAATCTCGAAGGCTTTGAATCCCATATCTAGGATCCTATCCACCACCTCATGTCTATTAGGGGGGGAGCTTCTGCCCTCCCATCTCAGCTGAACCACATTACGCCTCTTTATTGGAGATCCCAACACTCCTGTCTGCACCTTTGGTGCTCTCATTCCTCCCTGACCCCCCCTCACAGCTGCAGAGTAACTCACTGCAGGTCTCACACGGGGAGCAGAGACAGGGCGGGGCTAAGGGCAGGGGCGGGACCCTCCACAGGAGCCACAACAGAAGCTCAGGCATGGCTTGCTGGCACTGTGACCTGCCCTGACGTCAGAGCTGACACCGAGCCAAGAGCAGGGACTGCAGTCACACTAACAGCTGAGACTGACAGCAAGCTGGGGGGAGGGGCGGAGCCCTGAACACACATGGATCCAGGAGCAGGGACGGGAGCTCGGGTGGGGGCGGGGCCAAGAGTGGGGACGGGACCCCGCCCTGAAGCCATCATATCAGTAGGGGCGGGGATGTCAAGCAGTGAGTCCGGTCCTGACACCGGAGCTGAAACCGAGTCAGGAGCTCGGACTGTATCAACCTTGGAAGCAGACACTGAGCCAGAAGCAGGGGCGGGGCCCTGCACGGAGCTATGAGCGGGGACAAAGGTATTGTCAGAGCCTGGAGCATGGACGGAGACACAGATGGGGACGGAGACACAGATGGGGGCAGAGCCAGCAGCAGGGGCTGAACAGGTGCCATGATTGGTGCATGGGCGGGAACTGAAGCCGGGTCAGAGGCGGGGATCACCCTGCTCTCCATGCCGTGCACATCTGACACAAGCAGGGGTGACACAGGCAGGGGGGACACATCACAAGCAGGCTTTCCTGCAACCTTAAATTTACCACCAGCAGCCATTACTGACACTGAACGAGGGGTAGGGGTGGGGCCCCGCACAGTAACAGAGCCTGGAGCAGGGATGGAGACACAGATGGGGGTGGAGCTAACAGCAGAGGCTGAAGCCTGAACAGGCGCCATGATTGGTGCATGGACAGGAACTGAAGCCGGGTCAGAGGCGGGGATCACCCTGCTCTCCATGCCGTGCACATCTGACACAAGCAGGGGGGACACATCACTCTTCTGTAACACTAGATATACCACCAGCAGCCATTACTGACACTGAATGGGGGTGGGACCCCGCACAGTAACACAGCCTGGAGCAGGGATGGAGGCACAGACAGGGGCAGAGCTAACAGCAGGGGCTGAAGCCTGAACAGGCACTATAATTGGGATTGAAGCCGGGTCAGAAGCGGGGATCACCCTGCTTTCCACACTGTGCACGTCTGACACAAGCAGGGGGGACACAGGCAGGGGAGACACATCACTGACAGGCTTTTCTACTGCACCAACCTTACCACCAGCAGCCACACAGACATTAACAATGGCTGCAGCTGACTCTCTCCCCCTCAATGTCCATGGCTTTACTCACAGTCCTGCTTTCAGCTGCACTCTGTAACTCTGCCTCCACACTCCCCACTCTCAGTCCTGCAGCTCTCTCCTGAGCTCTGGAAATCCTTTCCAGCCTCACAAACACAGCTCTTTCCTTCCCCTTCGGTATCACCGGTCTCGGGCACTTATCTTCATCCATCTCAGAATCTGTGTCCTCAGATGTGAAGGCAAACCGCCTGCCTTGCAGTGGGGACTCCATCTCTGTAATGAAATCCATCAGCCTGGCCTCTTCACTCTCCTCCACCTGTGTTCCCCAATCCGGCTTCTGCTGTGCAGGTGGGTCAGACACCAGCACCTCACTCACTGCCTCTCCAGAAGTGGATCCCTCCATTGGGCAGACTGTTGCAGCGATGCCCCGGCTGTGGTGTCAGACGATTCCTCTGAAGACAGGACATCTCTGGCTTGGCCTCTTGCTGCAGCAAAAGTCTTCTTCCTTTAAAGCGGTCTTCATTGCTGTACTTCTCTTTCAGCAGCCCACTTGCAGCCTTCAGGGTGGACACTCGCTCCTCCTGCAGATGGACCGCCTGCTCCAACCTCACCAGCTCAGGCCTCATGGTCTGTCTTTTTGAGCTCTAGACCCTATTGTATGTCAATCTGTAGCGCTTCAAATCCATCTTTAGCTGAGAAAGTTTTTCCTCCTCTCTAGCGATCCTTTTCACGTGCGTAGCCACTCGTCCGCGGTATACTACATATGACTCACCAGCCTTGGCACCCTCTCCCAGGTCCTCAGTAGGTGTAAGTATGAGGCTGGTACTAGGGCCCTTGGGGGGACCCCCGCCTCTAGGGTCCTGCCTGGGAACACTCATCTCTCCTGGGCTGGGAGAGGAATCCAGTCCCTAGCTCCAAAACAAGGCCTCTAGAAGTCAGAGAGCAAGTCCACACACAACTCTCCACACCAAGCTCCTCCCAGGAAGTGGGCGTAAAGGAAGTTGGATGTTCCCAAAGTGCTGTATCAAAGCACATTAATAGAAAGTTAAGTGGAAGGAAAAGTGCACAAGCAGCAGGGATTGACTGCAGCCTGGAGAAGATTGTCATGAAAAGGCCATTCAAAAGTGTTGGGGACTTTCACAAGGTAATTGCAAGTTGCAAATTTTTTATTAAAAAAAAATCTTGCAACCAACAACGAAAAGTCATTTTTTTACAAAAATATAAAATTATTATGTACAAATAAATAAATAAATAAATACAAAAATACCATACAGCTGACCTAAACTAAACAAAGATCAACTAGAATACTATGATAATTCATCACAAAAACATAATCAAAGCAGAAAAGGCCTATATACCTATACCAGGAAATATCCTTCAAGGAAAGAAACTATCACAGAGGCCCTTTCGGCCCACCAGGCAGGGACAATGCCATTACAGCTCATATCTCTCATAACAAGGCTTTGGCTTATATGAGAATCCAGACATGTTCCAGAGAGGAAATATTAACAAAGGCCCATCCGGCCCATCAAGCCCCAGGGAAGAAATATTTGACACAGGCCCTTTCGGCCTGCGAAACAAGGAAGAGGCCTTTATGCCCCATCCTCCCATACACGTATTCAGGCCTTTTAATGGCCATAACATATCCATATACATAAAACATACAAAAATACATAAAATGCAGAAACAAAGGCTAAGAAACGCAGGTCTTCAGATGTACGTAGCCTCTCTTCAAAAATTCTTTGTCAAAATCTAAGGGAGTGGAACACAAAGAGAAAGAAAAAAGAACAGCATTCTCACCCAGAGAGCAACAGGCCGCGGCTACAGACCTGATATTCCTCTACGCCTCTATCCAGGCCCTTCGCAGCAGCCTGTCTTTCTCAAGACCCCGAATTTTCCCAACCTCACCAAGAATGTCATACACCACCACCGAGACAGGAAGGATTTTCTGCCGAAGGGATACCTGACACCG